ACACACACACACACACACACATATATATATATATATGTATATATGTATGTATATATGTATGTATCCTGGAAATACAAAGTTTCTGCTTTATTTTAAAATCAGCTGGTTTATTATCCATTTAAATAGATATTTAAGTAAAGCAGATTCTGAAATATAATCCTTTTTATTTTGAATTGTCAGAGGGCACATGCTTTCATCAGAGAGGGAAAGGGGCAAACGCACCCTCAATGGGGTGTGGTCGGGTCACAATCCCTTTTCTTCCTTTTGTACATCGTCTTGGAACCCCTCACACATACACACGAACCCAGCACGTTTTTTAACTCTTTGTACCAGATTCAAGCTGTGGTCAGCCATGGAGGCTCTGACTCCCTTAAACACTAGGCTATGGGAGCAGCCATGATTTTTTCTCTAATGAATGTGAACTAAACAATTACATGAATCCCTAGAAGGAAGAAGAAATTGTTATGGAAATCAATTCCCTTTCGAAAGATATTTTAGAATTATACTGGCATGCAGGACTCCTCAGAACTGTGAAAGCCTGGATGTGGATCTAGCACATACACCTTCAGTTGCAACAGAAATGGAATGAAAAGGCTGAAATTAAATAAGAACAGGTAAGCCGACACAAGACCACTGAACATATAAAAAACACTCCAAAAGAAATTTGGAGCTTGTGCCAACTAAACAGTTTTAGCCAGACTTAAATGTATAGACACGTGGCTCCCACCCACCCTCGGGTAAAGCCAGAGGGTCAGTTGCTGGAGTTCCATAAAGCTCATGGAAACCTCTCTAGAGTTATGGATCCAAGGATTCAAGGTACAGGTAACCCAGGGAAGTGAATCCCGTGTGACCTTCACCCTTCACAGAGGCAGACAGACAGCTCTTCCATCTTTAAAGACTGCTAGGATTTGTCTCTGCCTACCCTGTGGCTCAAAGAAAGGCAAATACAATTTGGGTGAATAATCCTATAGACTTAATAGTATTCAGCAAGTCAAGGTTTGGTTTCGCTGAGGGAGAAATTGAAAAAAGGGAAAAAAAATCAAAACTGCAATGTAATAATGAGTTATATATTAAATAATCACCTGTAAGATATAGAGAAGTCACAGAAACGTAGCCAATGGGCTCACAGAGAAGGGAGGGGATAACCCGGAACTCCAGGGAGTTGGATATGCCCCTGACAAAGTGGAAGGATCTTGGGTGGAAAACTTTGTGTGAGGTTACTAGACAGGTAGCAAAACTACTCCAGTTCAGAGCACAAGACTGAATCCTGACAGTTGGTTCTCTTGTAGGCAGGGAGTAGGGCGGAAAGTATCAGGCTCCTGAGGACAGAGAGGAAAGAGGAAAGACTAATACAGACAGCACACCCTAGGGACTATGAAAGTCTCAAAACAGCCACATTACATAAGTAAACCAGGGCCAGCAGGTGGTGTGAGGTTACGGGCCCTAGATCCCACATGACTGGCTGCACAGTTCGAGCGCCAGACCTGGCAGCTTGAAAATTACCCCTGGCACCTGAGTACGCATGCCCATAATCCTGAGAGGAGTCTGGAAGAGAAGGGATTGCCGCGTGCACCTCCGGGGGGTGATTTCTCACTTCCCTTTCATTCTATCTCTCGACAGCATATGTGCCCTATCGAAAACACTAAAAAAAGTAAATAAGTAAACTGACACACTGTGTGATATACAGGAAATAATTATATTTAGAGCAAAAAAAAAAAGGTTAAATAAAAAGGAAAAGTAGATTAAGAAAAGACAGATGAAAAATTCATTACAGATAAAACTTTTAGGACACTATTTCGCATGTATCTGCTATAGAAAAGGTTTTGGTATTTGCTACATTCTGAGATTTTATTCTAATTAGACTTATGGTAAAACTTATCACAGTTCTTTATTACCTTATTTTATATTTTCTGTCAAAATGTTTTGCTATACTAGACAGAGGTTTAATGCAAATAACTATTTTTTTTTTTTTGGAGAGGTTTTTACTATAGGGCACGTGCGCTCACCAGACAGCCAGAGAGAGACAGAGAGATAGAAAGCAAGAAATCACCCCCCAGGGGGGATGGCCACGCCACAGTCCCTTCTCCCCCATTCTCCTCTTGGGATCTTGGGCATGTGCGCACACACACCCGGCGTTAGTTTTAAGCCACCGGGTCCGAGATGCAAACCGTGGTCAACTACGTGGGAGTCCAGCGACATAGCCATTACACTAACTGCTGGTCCCAATGCAAATAACTTTTAACAAGACAAAGACAGGACACGAGAAGTATTATATAAAGAAAAAATCACAGGAATATATAAACTGCTATGAATCTTTTTTTGCATCAAATGTCAGAGCATGAAAATACCTACAAAGAGAAAGACCAAAAATATACAGGGAAAAATCCAAGAAACAAGATAGTACTAAGAAACTTTTTTTTTTTTTATGATCAGTTATTTAATTAGGTTCTTGGCAAAAAAATCTAGAACACCAATCTGTGAGGATAGACTCCATTTGTAAGGGCAAACACGGATCACAGGTAGCCCTGGAGCTGAGGATCAGCTTTGATTTTTGGCAAAATTTGCGAAGCCACAGCTTTCTGATCAATCTTGCGCTGCTCTGAAATCTTGTATTTCTCCTTCTCTGTGTCGAAGATCTCACCTTCCTGGTGTCTGGGCTTCCGCAGTTTCTTTTTCTTGAAGTAAGCATCGGTAAGGTGCTTTGGGATTTTTACTTTGCTAATATCAATTTTCGTGGAGGTGGCAATGACGAATTTCTGGTGTGTTCTACGCAGTGGAACTCGATTGAGAACCAGCGGTCCAGTTACAAGGAGCAAGCCACTGCTCAGCTGCTTCAGGAAAACCACTCTCTTGCCTCTGTGGCGTCCAGTGAGGATGATCAGAATGGTCCCAGGAGTGATGCTAGCTCGCAGCTTTCTCACATGCTGACTGAAGGGTTTTTTGCCATGGCTCAACAGCTTTCGAGGCACATCTTCAGTAGGATAATACCTAGGCATTTTGCGCAGTTTAACCACCTGGGTGCCACCATTCTTGTCTCCACCAACCGATTTTGTGACAGTCGCGAGAACCTTCTCCTTCTTTTTCTTTTCAATCCTGGATTTAGTGGCCGAGTATTTCCTCTTGTACATGGCCTTCCTGGAATACATGGCAGACCGGGAGTATCTGCCAATGCCCCGGACTAGGACAGAGTTTTGGCTGCAATGGGGCTGCAATGGGGCTTCCCCTTCTTGGGCTTTTTAGCCTTGGGGTCATCCTTTTTAACCTTGCCACTGGCATCAGCCTTCTTGGCTTCAGGTTTCTTCTCCTTAGTATCCTGCTTTGCAGCTTTATCGCCTGCCATCATGTATAGTGGGAAAGAGAGCGTACTAAGAAACTTTAACAAATTTTTCTAATTACTGGACAGATCAAGTGAGGTACATAATGACATAGAGCAGAGACATAGCAAACTATGCCAGCTAAACCTGGATTTTTTTTCCCCAAATTAAGTTTTATGGGGAGCACGGCCACATAGAAAATTTATTGCATTTTATCTATGGGTGCTTTTGTACCTCAGTGGTACAACTGAGTAGCTGGAACAGGGACCCTAAAATCCACAAGTGTTTATTACTTACTCTCCAGCTCTTTGCAGAAGACATTTGTTAGCCCCTGTAAGCTACAAATACTTTAATTCGATTTATTTAATAGTAATATTTTATCTTCGCACTTTGAAAATAGAGATTATGTCTCTTCAATTTTCTGGAAAATCTCTCTGAAAAGTTGACCATGTATTATGTTTAAAGAATATCAGCAAATTCCAATAAGTAGGAATTACGTAGACCATATTCTTTAACTGTAATACCATAAAACTAGAAGGAAAGTAAAACAATTGAAAATTCACTATTAGCAAATACTATCCATGAGTACATAAAATAAGAGATTTTGGCTGTTAGTCTGGGTTTAATCATGAGACCACACAGAGATTTAAACAGATGAATTTTAATATAAAGAAGTAAGCGAAGATAGAAGAGTAACTGTAAGATTTTCAGAGAACTCTGTGTGCTTAGCCCAAAGCTGAGGGCAGAGACCCCGAAAGGCCAAACTTACAGGAGAGCTCCTCCCCAGGATTGCAGGTCAGATCGTATTAGTGAAGGTCTGGCTGCAGACCTCAGGACAGTGCAAGAGTTTGCTGGGTTGTGTAAGAGTTTGCTGGGTCGCCAGGGCTAATGCTTTTCCACAGTCGCTAGGAAAGTGGGAAGCAACCCTCTGGGATACATCTTGAGCCAGTGGGCAGGCACACAGAGGAGGCAGCATGCCACTGTGGCTGGAAGGCCTAGAGGACCCAGTGCTTACAGGGAAGACCATAGGAGACCGATCTCTGCAGGAGGTTGACAGCCAGGGGGGTCAGAGTACCAGTGCATTCAGGAAACCTGGAATGCACAGCTGCCTTGTTGGAAAGGTAAAGGGATGACGATCCCAGGCTAGTCTAGAGCGGAGGGTGCTGTGGGACCTTGCAATCTGGT